CGGTCGTCAAGGCCCGTAGAGGCGAAGCAGTTTCTCGACAGGGTGCGCAGGGGTGGTTTTTCCCCTTATCGCGCCGGTCGTCCAGGCCGTAGAGGGTGGCGTATTCTCGACACCACAGGGGGTGCGCACGGTGGTGGGTCCCCTCTCTCCGCGCCGGTCGTCAAGCCGTAGCAGGACGTGGCGTTTTCGACACCATTGGGGGTGCGCGGGGGTGGTCCCCCTATCCGCGCCGGTCGTCCAGGCCGTAGCAGGCGTGGCAGTTTCTCGACGCCGTAGTGGGTGCGCACGGGGTGGTTCCCCTATCCGCGCCGGTCGTCCAGGGCAGAGCAGGCGTGGCACTTTCTCGATACCATAGGGGGTGCGCAGGGGTGGTCCCCCTTTCCGCGCCGGTCGTCCAGGCCGTAGCAGGCGTGGCAGTTTTCGCCCCACTAGGGGGTGGCAGGGGGTGGTCCCCCCTTCCGCGCCGGTCGTCAGGGCCGTAGCAGGCGTGGCAGTTTCTCGACGCCACAGGGGGGTGCGCCGGGGGTGGTCCCTTTCCGCGTCCTGTCGTCAGGCGCGTAGCCGGCGTGGCAGTTTCTCGTCGCCACAGGGGGTGCGCAGGGGTGTGGTCCCCTTTGCGCGCGGTCGTCCAATCGAGCAGGGTGGGCAGTTTCTTTGACGGCATAGTGGGTTGCGAGGGGTTCCCTATCCGCGCCTGGTGTCCGGGCCGTAGCAGGGTGGCAGTTTCTCGACAACATGGGAGTGGCGAGGGCCTATCGCGCGGTTCGTTCCAGGCCGTAGCAGGCGTGGCAGTTTCTCGACACCATAGGGGGTGCGCACGGGGTGGTCCCCCTATCCGCGCCGGTCGTCCAGGCCGCAGCAGGCGTGGCAGTTTCTCGACGCCATAGGCGGTGCGCACGGGGTGGTCCCCCTATCCGCGCCGGTCGTCCAGGCCGTAGCAGGCGTGGCACTTTCTCGACACCATAGGGGGTGCGCACGGGGTGGTCCCCTTTCCGCGCCGGTCGTCCAGGCCGTAGCAGGCGTGGCAGTTTCTCGACGCCATAGTGGGTGCGCAGGGGGTGGTCCCCCTATCCGCGCTGTCCGTTCAGGCCGTAGCAGGCGTGGCAGTTTCTCGACACCATAGGGGGTGGTCCCCCTATCCGCGCCGGTCGTCCAGGCCGTAGCAGGCGTGGCAGTTTCTCGATACCATAGGGGGTGCGCACGGGGTGGTCCCCCTATCCGCGCCGGTCGTCCAGGGCAGAGCAGTCGTGGCAGTTTCTCGACACCATAGGGGGTGCGCAGGGGGTGGTCCCTGAGCGCGGCCGCTATCCGAGACGGTCGTCCAGGGCATAGCAGGCGTGGCACTTTCTCGACACCATAGGGGGTGCGCAGGGGGTGGTCCCTGAGCGCGGCCGCTATCCGAGACGGTCGTCCAGGGCATAGTAGGCGTGGCACTTTCTCGATTCCATAGGGGGTGCGCAGGGGGTGGTCCCTCACCGCGGCCGCTATTCGAGACGGTCGTCCAGGGCATAGCAGGTGTGGCACGTTCTCGACACCATAGGGGGTGCGCAGGGGTTGGTCCCTCACCGCGGCCGCTATGCACGACGGTCGTCCAGGGCATAGCAGGTGTGGCACTTTCTCGACACCATAGGGGGTGCGCAGGGGGTGGTCCCTCACCGCGGCCGCTTTGCACGACGGTCGTCCAGGGCATAGCAGGCGTGGCACTTTCTGGACAAAATAGGGGGTGCGCAGGGGGTGGCAACGGCCACCAACATCATTCTTACATGCTTCACTTCAGCTATCTTCACTCCAGCCATAATATAAGTATGTGGGGTTCCTCGGCAGCATAATTTTACGTCGGGCCTGTCTTCCTGCAGGAGGAATATTCACAAATAGTCAAGCAATAGTCCAGTCACGATCTTTTGCTTATTCTGAACACTGTTTGGATATGTGTTGGCTATTTTTAATTTGTTGCCCAAAATCCCCCCGTAGGGGGACAGGCCCGACCTAATCGTAGTTTTGCTTGGGCGATCGGAGCGGCGCGTTCCAGAGAGGGCCTCGCTTTCAGCCCGTGTTCGCCCTCGGCGGAAGCCGGCGGGAGCAGAGCAGCAGCGGCTCCGCTGGCGAATTCGTGGCGGAAGTCCGGCGGAGAGCTGCGGGAACAAAAATTGAGGCGTCCATCATGTTGGCATTGAGTCGGGCCCGTCCCTCTACAGGAGGAACATTCCAAAAGGAGTCACAAAATAGTCTGGGGACTACTTTTTGAACATTTCTTGACCATGTTGGAGTATGTGTTGGATTGTTTTATTTGTCGTGGAAAATCCCCCTGTAGGGGGACGCGCCCGACTTGATGTTGGGAACAGGTTTCTGTAGTCTGTCACATGGGTGTGGCACGAGATCCGACAGCAGCTGCTGCCCGTTTTGAGGAGGGCTCGGTGTCGGTGCCGCGGGGCACGTTGCCCATTCGGTGCAGTGAGCCGCCTGCCCCAGCAGCGGCCGATGTCAGTCTGGGACAGCGTTT